TAACTGTTTAAAGGTTTGACCAAGATGGGAATTTGAGACGATCCTAACTGTTTAAAGGTTTGATCGTTCAATTTGTGGACCTCTCGTTCATGGAACGAATCGAGAGGGGATTTTGGCTTTGGTCCTAACTGTTTAAAGGTTAGCTATTTGACAAGCGCGGCGTTGGCGTTGTCTCTGACGAGCTCTTTTCGTCAATGCCGGTGGGCTTTGATTTAATGACTCTTTACTTGGCGAAGAGCCATTATGAGCAGAGAGGTTGTGAGTAGAATCCTCAGCAACAATTAGGCGAGAGTCTTCATTCTGTGCCTTCTTTGGCATGGAAGTCTTCTTCAATGTTGAGATCCTCTTGTACTTGCGAGACAATGAAGATCTTGAAGAGGATGATGAGAGATATTCCTCAAACTTGGTTTGGTCGAATTCGTATTCGACCATGGATTCAACTGGAATCTTGATCGGCTGCGACACGACGGTCTCGGCAGCGAGACCGTTGGCTCCCACTGTGGTCGCCAGTTTGTTTTCGTCAAAAGTTGGTTTTGCTGTGGAATTCATTATATCTTCGGTCGATTACAATAAATTCAAAGAAATAGCCTTTTTATAAGACTTCTTTTACACAACAAAATGAAAATTACAACTCTTGAGAAACATGGGAAACAAACGCAGGATCGTTGTTTGGATCACTGCTTGCGTGGGATCTTTGCCTGTGTCGGGGGTGCGTTAGCCCGTGGACCACCAAATCACAGATTCTGATTGAATCGTGAGGGGTTTATGATTCTGACTTCGTTTATCGAAGTGAGAACTTGAAACGATATCTTATCAAGGTAAGATAGTCGTTCTTCTTGAAATCAAGTCAAAGCCTGAATATCAAGGAGTTACAGAAGCTCGGGTACGCTGCCCTCTCTGCTCTGAAATCAGCCTGTGGATGCTCTCTGATCAGCCCCCCTCTCAAAATGGCCTTCGGGGGTATTTATAGCCCCTAGGAACAGTTGGCAGAAAACAGGCTCGCGAGACAGCATTTGCTGTCTCGGCGGGCGAGACAGTGTTTGCTGTCTCGGCGGGCGAGACAGTGTTTGCCGAAAATATGCTCGATCCTCGTCAGAAGTGACCCTAGGGGGGTATTTATAGCCTCAGGGGTCTGCAACTGAAAAAACTCAACAAATGACGACATTAGTACGGCGAGACAGTGTTTGCTGTCTCGACCCGCGAGACAGTAAACACTGTCTCGGAAACAGTAACCGCAGGCAGTTTTCGTTTTAACTGCCTTCCCACGTTTCAAACTCCGTTATTTTAGCAGTTATTCACGTGATTTTCACCCACGATGTTTCCCACGTCCCTTGGCAGTTAATGGCCACGTGTGGGGCAGTTACAAAACCAATTTCTGATCTTTTGAAAGCTGTCTTCTGTGCGAGACAGCAAAGTCTGCCTCGCACGGTCTCGCACGGCGAGACAGCAAAGTCTGTCTCGCTCGGCGAGACAGCAAAGTCTGTCTCGCACGGCGAGACAACAAAGGCTGTTCTTTTGACTTTTTTGGATGACTTCCTTTTGAATTATGTTTGGATATCTCTCAGCATTTTTTGACGCCTACAGTATCTTCCAAATTTTGCGCATTTAGCGCATCCATGACTTCGCATCTCCAAAATCCAAAATTATTTGCGCCGTTGAACTTTTCCACATCTATTTTCATAGAATGTATATTCAAACTTTGGACGACCCTCACACTAGAAGAACCCTCCCCACTTTTATCTTTTCCGTCCATAATCTCAAAGCATCCAAATAAACAATTGCGGAACAGATAGAAAATAGATCCAACTTGAAAAAGATAGAAACTTTACCACAAAGATCCCACCTTTATCACCAATCGAAGCTCTAGAAGAGCTTCCCAACTGATCTACACCTCCTAAAAAAGCCCAAGCGTTGCCCGGAGCTCTGATACCACTTGTTGTGCCTCGAGAATTCAAACCAATCGCCGAGAAAAGATAAACCAACAACCAAAATCAATAGCACAAACAATCAAACACCAGTTTTACGTGGTTCGGCAAGATGCCTACGTCCACGGGGCAAGGAGAGAAGAGTTTTCACTATTAGAAATCAAGAGGAACAAACTAGGGTTACAAATCTCTCATAAACCCTCAACAATCAACTCTCAATCTCTCCAATTGCTCCTAGAATAGAAGCCCAAAGAAAACTCTCACAATCTGCTCAAAAACTCCTGCCTTGCATACCCTAAAAAACACCCAAAGGGTATTTATACAAACCCAAAACGAAGCGGGTCTGAAAACAGGCAGCCCAGCCCAAAACAGCGTCGGTCGACCGGACCGGTCGACCGCGATCAATTCCGGTCGACCGGCCCGGTCGACGCAAACATAACCGTACGCCCACACCACCCCCCCCCCCACCACACACCACCACAACCCACACACAAACCCCAATTTTCAGATTGATCTCAATACCCTCCCTACATGTAATTTACAATAACAAAAATGTCTGTTGAGTAAAACTCCCCATAAGTACTGTCATTTACAGGTTGGACCTTTACTCTTGTCTCAGCTTAACTCTTAGCTTATCTCACCTACCCCCCCCACTGTTAGAATTGGCCGAAAGTTCAGGTTTTCAGCAAGATTGGGTGGTGGTCGACCGCGCCGCGGTCGACGCATTCGTGGCACAAGGCTTATGGGCTCGTGTATGTGGGGGTCGATTCGGCTATCCGGTCGACCGCAGATTTCTGGGCTCTGGTGCGGATCGACCGCCGAACGTCTCTGGACGTTTGAGTCACCCGACTGGTGGAGGGCGTCGAGCCGGTCCGGTCCGCCGCGATGGATCGCAGTCGACCGTGTTTGGTTCACGACCGCCGAAGCGGTTTTTTTGGGCTGGCGTCTGTTTCCAGAACCCCGTTTCGTTTGGGTTTCATAAATACCACAAACTTGGTTTTAGGGTTGGATAGCAAAGGGTTTGCAACATTGAGGGTGAGGTTTTGGGCGCTTCCTATTGTTGACGCAATGTGGAGAGGTTAGAGTGGGTTGTGAGGGTTTTTTTGTGAGATGTGTAACCCCTAGTTTTGTTCCTCTTGCTTTCAATAGATTGAAACTCCTTCTCTCCTTTGCCCCTGGACGTTTAGGGCATCTTGCGCCGAACCCACGTCAAACTGGTGTTTGATTGTTTGTGCTTATTGATTTTGGGTTGTTGGTTTATCTTTTCTCCGGCGTTGGTTTTTGAATTCTCGAGGCACAACCAAGTGGTTCCAAGAGCTCGCTGAGACACCCCATAATTTAGGGGATTATGTGAGAGAAACAAAGTCAAGGATCTATGGAGAACAGCCCCCAAAGTTCAGTGGGGTTTCACTTACATGTGGAAAAGGATCAGATAAAAGATCAATTTTTAACTTATTTAAGGATGTGAAAAACTATAAGAAAAATGCTCTGTTCTTAAATTTAACTAGCAGTTTCGCTTAACGTCCAAATCGTCCTTACTTCACCCTTTGACGAAAGTTAAAAATTTGTAAGAAGTGTGACGTCCTCATCCTGGAGAATTAGCTAAAAAATGTTAAACAGAATAAAAATTAAAATGCGGCTACTTATTAAGAAAAAGTGAAAAAAAGTTATGCAGATCGAACTACGGACCTTCAGTTTACAAGACTGACGCTCTACCACTGAGCTATAAGGGCTTCTCTCTTCCGATAAATTTTCAACGTCCTAAAGCTAAAGTACTCGACACTCCTTTCAAAGACAGCAGCTAAAAATAACTTTGTAAACCATCAGCCATGAAAGCATTTGGCAACTGTGGCGTGTTTACCGTTTCAGTTTTTGTTTTCAACAAAAATAATAAAATGTGTTTGGCAACCGGGGCGTTTTTTTGACTTGACGCTTTACAAAATCCAAAAAATAAACACTTTTCTCAAAACACCAAAAATGTGTTTTGAGATTCCGTTTTTCATCTAAGCTGGGATTAGCATGAGGTAATCCATCTTTTCGGATGGGACTAATCTCTGCTCGTGTTTCCTCAAACCCGGGATTAGCCCTTTATGAATCGTCCCCCAGTAGGGACGCACCGGGACCTTACACTATTGTATCTATATATTGAAATAACAAGTAGAAAGCTTCAAAACATAATGCTGAACAACTAAACAAAGTCCAACAACATCAATTTGAAGCAGCCCAAAGTAAGCATATCCATCCAACCATGCTTGCACCTGCTGAGAGCTGATACATTTTTTTTCACCAGTATGCAACATATTTAGGACAAAGAGATCATTTCTTCCTCGAAGTGTTGCTGAATGCTCAAGTTGCCTTATTTTTCATATATGTATGTATGTATGTATACAACACACACAAACACATACATATACATATATGACCAAGGTAATCATTTTTTGAACCTACAATTAAATATTTAACAAATTAATGAAAATATTTAACAAACTAAAGACATGATAGTGGTTTTTTACTGTTCTTGTACATCTTGCAAATCTTAAAAAATAATTTTTTAATTCATAAAAAGGGTTGAGGTCAAAAAAATTTGGAGGAAAGTAGTAAAAAGTCTTTTTTTTTCATTTTTTTCATTTTTTTCATTTTTTTCATTTTTAGTTTAGAGAAAAATGAGACAAATTGATACAAACCCATGAAGAAATACAAAAGACAGTCGCGTCATCGATCCGTAAGATATTTGACTATAAAATCACAAAATGATAACATTAAAACCACAAACATAATTTAAAGAGCAATATAGGTAAGTTAATATTTTAGGGGAAAATTTTGAGAGCTCCTCAGTACTTCAGAATATTTAAAGAGTAATATAGGTAAATTAATATTTTAGGGGGAAACTTGAGAGCTCCTCAATACTTTAGGATGAGTTAGTTATGTTGTCCATACATTTATTTTGGAAGCAATCTAGATTTGTGAAGATAAAATATTGTGCGGGGAACAACAAAACAATAACAAAGAAACTTTAGTGATTTCTTAATTGAGGAAATTGATACAGAAACTCTCACAAAGTAATATCACTACGCCTCTCCAACTGTCAATAACCTATTTATTGAGATAATTGATACAGAAACTCTCACAAAGTGAGAGAACTACGTCTCTCCAACTGTCAATAACCTATTTATTGACATTTCAAGGAATACAGTAGTTCCAAAAAAAATTTATACATATGGAACAGGCATACACGATACACCTATACAACAAGAAGTTTATATTGCTGACAGACTCGACAATCAACCGCAAAATTTTTATATTTACATGTTAATCTCTGCCTTATATCTGTTTGAAGGTCTACGTACATGCTGCTCTTGAATTTTCTTCTCCTGCTCTCTCTCTTTGAATGACAACGTTGATACTTCCCATCCTTCTTGAAATAGGATGAAAATTCTCCCAATATATGTCCCGCTGTCATCGAAAGGATGGTATATCCCATCATAAGCAAGCACTCTGAATTTTCCATCGTATTCAAACCGTTCATGGCTGCCGTTAAAAATGCATTTCCTCAATAAAGAATTATGTGAAAATACAAACTAACCAGTAAATGTCATATGGTCATATTCAAACAACTCCCCTCCCAAGCACACCCAAAAAAAAAGCAATATTTTTGAGAGAAGACTCGGGACAATTGGACACTAATGGTGCCATAAGGTTTAGAGAAAATTTACGGTCTTTCCTACATGGGTGCAAGTGGGTATGGATATAAACCACTAAACCTCAATCCATCTCAAGAATGAATCAAGGGGTTTTTTGACATTAGTCCCCCATATCTTTCATAATTTGATGTTAGTCCCCCAAATCATCATCTTTTGAAATTAGTCTCCCAACTCTATACATTTTGAAATTGGGCCCCCTAATCTTATAAGTGTTCTGAAATTAGACCCTCATGTCAACACCTGGTTAAAAGATTTGGGGGACTAACTTTCAAAATGCTTTAAAGGAATTAGGTGACTAATTTCAAAACATGATCATTTAGGGGGACTATGTTAAAATACTCAAAAAGATTTGGGGGACTGATTTCATAATATGAAGATTTGGGGGACTAATTCCAAAATATGAAAGATTTGGCGGACTAATATCGAAAAAGCATAGAAATATGAATATGAAAAGTTCATATCTATTTGGATATGAATGAGGAACCAAACTGCAAGGTAACATTGCATGTAGTAGACCCAAAGTGTGACCATTTTATATTTTACATTATGCTTGAAATACTTCACGCTCACGTGCTATTTCAACATTTAAATCTAACATATTAAGTTGGAGCAAGTAGTATTCTGAAAGCAATGTAATCTTTTCAAGCATATTTACTTTATGTAAACAATCAAGCCATAGAACCAGCTCTTTTCTGAACCTGCCCTCAAATTAGTTTATGAACAAACCTGAAGAATATATTCCAGCATGGTAACACGATAATGGCTCAATTCCACTTCTTTAGATCCCGGGTATGTACAGAACCTGCTGCCTCTGACAAAAAATCTATTATCTCCCCTCTCTCTACATCTTTCTCTTTCTTCAGTTCAAGATGACGAACCTAGAGAAACACAAGTTTTTTTAATTAGAGACTCCAATAAGCTTACCTGGAAGACATGTTACTCCAAAGTTACCAGGAGGAGAAGCTATTAACATGATTCTTAACATGGATCATGAGCAATGTGAACTGCACTAATGAGTTCCCAAAACATATGATGTATCTTGTAAAGTTTTTGAACGTTGCTGATTATGATGAAAAAAAAATATGGATCCTCCTTTGGTATAACCTAAATCGTTAGGATCTCTCTCGATAAGTAATTTCAAAAAAATCCCTATATTTTGCAATTACTTGATGCATAGATCTTCAAAATGGACAAGTTTTTGTTTATGATCTTTTAAAACATCCAATTTCATCTCACACTATGCACTAAAGTAAGGGTCATAATTAAATTGGTTATTTGGTAGGACTGTAAACCTGCCCTTATGCTCTTCAGTCTTATTTTATTGATAATAAGAAAACTAATATTTACAAAGAAAAGCAAATGGGATAAGAGTAAACTAGAAATTTGTATAAGGCCTCCTAAGTCTATGTAGCGCTGATGATCAAGTCAATAGTTGCACTATTAATCCATGACATGAAAGGCTTGAAGTATTACCCTGACTAGACCTGTTTGAGATACACCAGCCTCAGTTATTATAATCAGGCATTTGATATCATGGTCAGCTGCATATTCATACTGTTCAGTGAGGCTTGGATCTGAGAGAGGAACAAACTCAGCCTGATGATAAAACAATATACTAGAATGAGTTATTGGGAAAATTATATTTTATTAGCGACAGATAAGTCCTCATGCAGATCTTTGCTGAAATTTGAATATAAGAAATTATGAATATACCAACCTTTATATTGGCTTGCCACAACTCAGAAACCAATTCCATGCGCTCGTGTAGTAATCCTCCCCCACCTCTTGAACAAACAAGCACATTGATACTGGGATCAATTCTGAAAAAGCAAGGAAGGACAAGCAAGAACTCAATTAATTCCAGTAAATGATCAATGGAGATTACCAAATTATCAAGGTGTTGAGGCTGCACCTGGAGGGCCCGACATCAATAGGACAACGAAGAAGAATTTTCTCCAGCGCCAGGCTGACTCCGACTGCACCAGGAGGGTTGAATTTCTGGTCCATGAAGACAAAAAGATCAGTCCAGAGAATTGAATGGAGAAATTTTCAAAATAGACCCAGTCACAGATTTATTCCCAAAAAGCGATCCACTTGAAAACTTAATTACAAAAATGACCCAGTTACGACCATGCCAGCATTGCGGGTTGAAACTAGGTTGATTTTTAGAAAAAACACACTTTTCTAATTAGCCAGGGTTGGCAACCCTAACTAATTAGAAACTAGTTAAAATAGACAGGATTAGGAACTCCGTCTATTCTGAACTAGGTTCAAACTTGTCAGGGTTGGCAATTCTAACTAATTCAGAATATGTTCAAAAACGTTGGGGTCGCCAACTCCGACTATTTCGAACATAGTTCAAAATCCTGACTTGCCAACCTCGATTATTTGGCAGAGAATCTTGAGTATTTTGCTGGCAAAAAATGTCTAAGTATAATAGATAGGCGCCAAATTTCTGCCAGCAAAAAACTCAGTATCTTTGTCAAATAGTCGGGGTTGGCAAGCCAAACTACTTTGAACCTAGTCCAAAATACTAATTTCTAATTAGTTAGGGTTGCAAACCCCGAAAATTAAAAAAGAGCATTTTTTTATAAAAATCGACCCAGTTTCAACCCACGCTGCTAACGTGGTCGAAACTAGGACAATTTTTGTGATTAAGTTTCAAGTGGGTTGATTTTTAGGAATAAATGTGTAAATGAGTCTATTTTGAAAACCTCTCCCATATAGATGCCTTGTATTTCACTGGTGATGAATAACATCTCCTAGGAAAGTGAGTGGAGGTGCTATGGATGATCTTGAGTAATGAAAAACATGACAACAGAAAAAGGGAATATACCATATGTGAACCGAAGGTACAGAAATAAGAAAACACATGACAATATCTAAGGACGGGGAAGAGAAAACTTTGCATATTAGCACATTATAAGTCACGCCTCGCCTCTATTTGTAAGAAGGTTATATTCATTGGTGAGGAGATAAAAGTTAGAGCTAAACTTGACCAATTAGCAAGAAGCTAAAGGGAATAGAAATTGAGGCAGTCCAAAATGTGCAAGGGACCATTTTTTGTCCCGGATAGACAGGATTATGTCCCTTTGTTTACAAGTATTTATACATGTAATATATCATGATGAATCTCAATTTTATAGACGAATATACAAGAGGCTCTAAACATCTATCAAAAGGATAAAGAAAGTCCTTCAATATTTTATTTCAGTGTGAACTTGTGACAACCTGTAAATGTCACTAGTCTAAGGAAATCAGTATAAACAGGAGATTATTTTGGTGTTCGAAGGAAACTAAATGTCACATGTGTAACCTACATATTCATGCCACATTTGATGAAGTAAAAAGTCATAGCGACCGCCAACAGCAAGCAAAGTGCCCTCAGATGCTGATTCTTGAGCATTTCCTTTTAAATATATCTGCGAAAATAAAGATCAATGCAGTTAGAAATCAAAGAAAACATTAGGTGCCTACAGCTTTTAGAAAGGTGTCCCTTTAAATAAGAATAAATGGAAAAGAATAATCACAAGAAACTAAATAGAAGATGACATCTCTGGTAAATTCATATTGGAATTGGGTACAAGCAACAACAATAAAGCCTTTATACCAAAATTTTGAGAATATAATAGGTAGAAGTTACTTCATCATTACTGCTATATTCTGTTATGTTTCGCCAATTGCTGATCCACGCTTTGAAAGATTAAGACCTATCAACAAATTATCTTTTTGTGCAACTATTATGAAACCCACCTCAAGTTTGGTTGTTTATTATGAAACCCCCTATCATTATCATTTGATTGGAAAACCCCTGCCGTTAAAAGAACAGTTAAAAAACTCACATGCTTTTTTAAATTCTAGAGCTATCCTCTTCTTCTTCCTTTTAACATATTCTGTGACTCTCATTTCATTTTACACAATATACTTTTGTGTTCACATGTTGATACTAGGTCCTCGTTGGTGCCAGTTAATTTAGTGCCAGGAATGAGCAATTAAGAATGGGCTACTTAAATTGTATGCAAACACATAGTTATAAGGTAATGAATTAGTTAAATGTTCAAAGGCTTCTTGATTTGACGTTCGCTACAGATTTGCTACAAAACGCCATCCACAGCATGTTAGGTTTGCTAAAGCATTTGCAATGCTTATGAACCTAAAGTTTTTATATCTTTGATGGCTTGTGTGGGTTGAGAAAAGAGATCTAAAGTGAAGATGAAGCTTCAACTTTTGAAATATGAAAAATGATAAAATTGTTAAAGGAAATGAGAAGAAAGAGGAAGTAATAATAGGAAGAGAAAGAGGTAGAGAAAGCTCATATTGCCTCAATCTCTAACACTGACATTTTATGGAAAATCCAAACCTATAGTTTAAAATGAAATGACAGTAGAGCATAAGGAAGAAGAAGAAGGCACTTTTGGAATATAAAAAAAAACATTTGAGATTCTTAACCTTTTTTAAATGGCAGGGGGTTTCATAATCAACAGATAACGGCAGGGGGTTTCATAGTAAAGAGCCAAACTTGAAGGGGGTTTCATAATAATTACCCTATATATTTCTTAAAAAACCGGAAACAAAGAAAAGATATACAATATATTAAAAATTTGTCCTAAATAGTAAATGTTGAATATGCAGATTAATGGGTAAATCAATTTCTCCATACAGCGTATCACTGACCCGAGTAGGAATATAGCCTAATGTCGAAGATAGGACTTTTGTCGAATTTGAAAAGTTCAATAAAAAAAATGGGAAAACTGATTTTCATTCTCCTAATGTAATTAGGATAACGCTGAATCTTATATCCTCTAATAACTAGAATATCTTAAAAGTTTGCCACCACAGAACACATATGATGGGTCCCAAGTAACAGCAAGGAACTTTGCATCTGTTTTGTTCTTCAATCTGAGTATGCAAACTTTGCATCTGTTTTGTTCTTCAATCTGAGTATGCATACACATTATCTTAATTATGAGGTAAGTTTCTAAAATTTTACAGAGTTTGTAACCTTCTCTCATTGTCCCCAAGATATCATGTTCAAAGAATATTTCCTCGACCAAATGAAGCACTACCTCAATATGGTCACTTATATCTATCCTGTTTATTTTCAGTACCTAATCCCCATGGTTTCTTATAAACAATATGCAAATGAAAGATCAAAAAGTAATCGACATGGATCTATACAATTCTACTAGAACAGAGAACCGACGGTCAGCTCAATCAGGATGTGAGCATAGATGAATGCACAATTTCAAATTGAAGCCTAACTTGAAATACTCCAAAGATTTGTTCCAATGAATCAATGAAAAAATAGATGTCAATGGGATTTGAAGAGAATCATAGCTAGAATAGAGAAAAAGAAAAGTTGTGATGACATGAGACCTGAATTGCTTACTAGGCAAAGCAAATGGAATAACAATTGAGAGACTGAAATATTATGAACCACTTTTTATTTCTTCCTCTTCCCTACGGTAACTATTACATTCTCCTCAAAAAAATTATACTCATATTCACTGCAATACCGCTCTATTATACTGACCTAAAGTCTTAATAAGGGCACGCCATAAGCTATATTTTTCTTTCAAGAACCTTCATTATTGGGAAAAAGCAACTTAATCCAAGGTTGAACTCTCATATGGCTGAATTTCCATCAAGAATCAGCACAGTATCTTTGGAATACACAAATCCTAAATAGCAGGAAACTTGACAAAGTGTTTGTTTACCATATATTCTGGAGTTACTATGCCCCTTAGTATTAGAATATAAAACTATATCAGTCTATCCTCACCCCAACCTTGGAGTTTTCGTATAGTGGCTAGACCTTTGATATGATACCATAAATCTAGGTTCAAATCTTATTAACCATGAATTTCTAAAAGCACATTTAAAGAAAAAAGATACCACTCCGTGAGTCTAGTTTTTCCCCTATTTAAGGGGTGCTCAATCTGCAAGGGCATGTTTGAGTATAAAAGTATATCCCTCAACTCTCACTATAACTCTAGAGTTTTGGTTTAGTGGCATGCAGTGTATAAAATATCAGCCAATATATCGCTTTCTATAATACCCCACAACGATATTTATAAATTTATACTGTTTTCTGATTTTTAGAATTTTTTTCAATATATCGGCCGATATCCAATATATCCCAATATTAGCAATATCGATCAATGTTGGTTTTTTTAAGGTCTGTTTTAGCTTTGGGTTTCCAACTCAACCCAAATAATAAATAAAACCCTCAATTTGATCCAGACACTGTTTTAAAAAGCCCCTGCCTAATCCGCCTAGGTGTATACGTTTAGGCCTAGGCATATTTAGGCCGCTTAACTAGCGCCTAGCGTCTGGGCGATACCTAGGTTTCCCACCTAGATTTTAAGAGTGTTTAGGGGAGCATTGTCTGCTTACATGGACTGCACCCTTTAGGTCTTAATCGTGATTTTCTATGTTGGGCATTCACGTCCTCCAACCTCCAAATATGAACACCTCCATTATCTTCTCCGACCTTCAGCAAAACCTTCTAGACCAGCACTTAAATAAAGAAAGAAATCCACCTAGACATCAATCCAGCAACTAAGTTTTCTATAACATTGACATTTATTATCAATTATTATAATTAAAAATAAAAAAGAAAACTCCTAGGCTCTAGGCATCGGGTCAACGCCTAGGCCTCCTAGCTCCTTCTATAACCTTGTTAGTTATTATTTTGGCTATTTAGTATTTAAGTATGCATGGTTTACTGTGGATCTAAGATTACTATTTTTAGCTAATTTATATGAATTTAATACATATATTTATTAATTATTATAATTAAATAATTTAAAAAATAGCCAAACGTCTAGATGTCGCCCAGGCATCTAGGCGCTATAGACTGCCTAGCAAAAATCTCAGCGCTTACAATTTCAATGCTCGCCTCTCATTATTTTCTAGCTCCCTCTCTCTACCTCCTCTCTCCACCTAGCTCCCTCTCTCTACCCCCTCTCTCCACCCTCTCTCTTCCTACTATCTCTACCTTCTCTCTCCTTTCTTTTCTTACCTTCTCTCTCAATCCTCTCTTCTTTGTCCCTCTACCCTCTCTCTCTTTCTCTTCCTCCACCCCTTTCTCTATCTGATATACCCCGATTTTTGCAATTCTATATGGATCATTGTCATCTGATATTTATGTGATATCCGATATTTAAAATAATGACAGTGATTCCTGACACTTAGTTTCTCAACTAATGTTCCAACATGTTCCAATTTCAGTGTAACTGTCTTCTAAAGCAACAAAAGCGACCTAGAAATATCTTGGTTCAGAATTGGACAAAAGTGAATCAGAAGGCATATAGTTGAATCTAGTAAGTGAAAAATTAATTTTGGTAAATTAAGAAAAGCCTTAATCTATATCTACTTTTAGTAAAAACCCATACATAGCCTTGAAAAAACCTATAAGCTATCCTAGTTTTTCTTATTTTTACTTTAATCATTAATGAAAAAACAATTTGAACTTATGGATAAAAATTAAAGGGTTTCATTTTAATTAGTTATCCAATTTTATCATACCTTATTTAATAGAAAAAAAAATACTCTCTTTTGTGCAAAGCACTGAAAATTTAGGATTTGGATCTACTCCAAATAAAATACACCAAAATCATAAGTTAGCAGTAAACCTAAAAGCCAACCATTATCTCTTTTTTCCTTCAACTTGGAAGGCTTTTGAGAATAACATGCAATTTTCAGAGAACAGATGTTTCGATTTGAGAATTTTCAGTAAAAATGTCGGGAAAAAATCCCAACTTTAACAAAACATATATAAATTTATAAAATATTATCATTGAACCAAAAGAGACATCAACTTTATGATATAAGTAAATCTACCAAAAGAGAGAGTTTAGGGGGTTCTAAGCTGTGACGTTAAAGTAGATGAGGGCTCATCATAATGTATGTATAAGTGAACTTTGTTATGAAATCTAAATGATTAATTTATTACTAGCAGAATATCAAATTATTAGTTAATTGTAGTCCCCTGTTTAATCAGCAGACTGTGTATCTGTATGCGTCTATCAAGACGCTCAACATAAATTGCGCCAGTCAAGAAAGATTTGAATGCTACTTGTCCGTTTTAAAGTCAAGCCGAGCAAAGTATAGTAGATTGAGGACCCTTGTTGGTCGGTTTCTGGTAATAAAAATAGGTTTAGATTGGATCATTGAAGATATTCACATAGTTATTACAGTCAACTTCTCTCCTTTATGCACTTAATTATCGCACATATGGTAGCAGATGAGAATCTATCAAGGTCTTTGAGTAGGAAACATTGTCTGCCCAACTTTTATCATAGGAATATAAGACAAAATAAAGTTGATATCTCATAGATTGAAGGCATCTTGATGTACAATTTGTGGTGCATCCTATTCTTGTATGATCTATAATCCAATATCCTAACAGGGGCACCAGTTAAAGATGGCACACATAGTATCCAATGGGTCTTCCTTTGACTAATGTGTATCAAAGTCTGCAAGAAGAGGAGTTCAGATATAGACAAGATGAATACAAACTCAATTTTAATTTTCAAGGTTTCCTATTGACACTTGCATCTTGTAAAGCCAATAAGGAAACTGTATTGATTCATCTTTTCTCCTTCAGAAAGCTTCTGTTAATATTCTTACACACAGTTAGTACAGCTGTGTAAGAATTCAGATTTTGATCTTAAGGTTATTAAGATCGATTCTGGAGCTTGGCAAATCACCCAATATAACAAAAGAAGCTTTACTATTTATGCTTGCTGTAACATTGGTTTATGCTTAATACCTTAAATTCAGAAATGAAAATCACAATCATGGGTATGACTACTTATCACCATATTCATACATTCACAAAGTTATACATTGTGGGGAATTATATACAATACTCTTCATCAGAATTGCAATCAAGCAAATATGTTCTCACCGCTCTATTAGAGTTAACGATAGCAAATGTAGATGAAGGAAATAATGAAAATGAAAAGAAAACAGTATTTTTTGTATGAAAACTTACTTGGAAAAAAAGACCCCGGTGATAATCTTCTGTAGGAGGCATGAGTACATCCAGAGAAATGTTTTCGTCAATATTCCACACTCTTAAATGACTTAAAAGAGTTGACACCTCCTCGAGCGCTCTATGAGAAAATTTATCTGTAACTTGATCAAACTAAAAATGAGTCACGTGCTATGGCCTACAAGAAATCAATGAGAGACAGTAAAAATTACCTGGATAAAGGGCTCCTCTTAGTCTTGCGAGGACCTGATCTGCAGATCCACAAAACCTTAAACTTGCTGTCTGTAGTTTGTCAACAACTACTTCAGGGAGTTTAAGATCCTGGAACACAGTATTATACAGGTGAGAAAGTTTTTTGATCTGAAGTAAAAATACACTCTGAAAACTGAGGACAAGTTGAAATTTCTCCATTTGCACCTAATATGTTTCTTCCTTGACAATGACATGTTCAGTGGATCATCCATGATTATATGCATTTGAAAATTTCATTTTGTCAATCCTTACCTTAGATTTTTGTTGTTAATGAAACATTTGAGCTGACGAAATATCCAATTTCACATTAATTCATTTTCTGCTCCACATGTCTAAGCCATTTTAGGAGATATACATGCCACACATAAAACATGCTAGAAGTCTACAAATTACTGACAAGTTTAAGTCTAATTAGACAAAAGGATGGCTATATAATCATTCCAGAAATAACACTGATGACGATGTAAAAAAGAAGAGGAGGAAAAAAACACTAGACCACCAATATCATCTTTAAACATGTTGAAGTAAGCTCTACGCTTTCCATAGATAAGATTCTATCATCTACAGTTTCCTCAGGTGTACCAATAACTCAAACCACAAAATTTGAGATAGATAAATAGAGGTTGACCAATTGGTTTGCGAAAGACAGGCTGCTTTCCTAATGTAATAGCAATACATTGATGAACAGTCCATTTCGAGCTGTAAGAGCAACAGAACAACAAATACTTCAGTACACATCTTCCCTGCATGTCGATATACCACTAGGGGGGGTTATCCACTGGTGTACTTGTGGGAAAACTTGAATTATTTTTGGAACTTTACTTTATGATGTTATTCATTGGGATAATAAGATTGAGACTCCACTTTAAGGTGTTATTCATTGAGACAAGGAGATTGGGACAATTACCCTTACTTTACGCAAAATTATCACACATCTATACAAACTTCTTGTCCCAACAATTACCCTTACTTTACGCAAAATTATCACACATCTATACAAACTTCTTGTCCCAACCTCGAAAGTTTGCCCTATTCTTAACTTTGAAACAATCATAGAGAAAGTGGGATAATTTTGGAGCACTCATTTATTAAGTATCTAATATATGTTAATTGTATTATAATATATAATATATCTTAATTATATTATATTATAAAATTTTACTATAATGTAAGATAATAAAATATTATATAATATTATCTATTATAACATTATTAAATATCATCATTCCATATTAGTTAATAATATTTCATATATTATAATTAGCATTACTATTGATATATATAGTTACTTTGTAATCTATTATAATATATTTTTCATATTTTAAAATAAAATATATTATTGCATGTGTATTTATGATTCGTATATATAATTTTGAGGGTATTTATATATTTAATATAATTAATCTATGATTATAATTTAATTAATTTAATATGAACAAATATTATTCGTAATAATAGAACATTTATTATTCATATAGATGAATTTAATATTTTCTATTTACTAATAATATAAATATATAATTATTTAATACGTCTTATAGATATGATATCAAAATTATATGTGCCTTACTTTGTGTTTTGGCGGACAAGATTTAATTGTGATAATATGGAATAGATTAATTATTATGGTGCTACACATAAAGATCTATGTAATGTAATCGCTATATATCTAAAATATGAGTATTATATAATACTAAATTACAGGTATAATATAATACTATTACATTAATATCCATACTGATACTAATTATGTTATTCATATAGTATAATTTAGTGGTCGTATGTACTAACTATATTATTTTTATTTAAGTGAAGCCATGCAATCCATCTTTTCTACTTAAAATTAAGTATTATTATATATATTATACTATGTTTTAATAATATTAATAATTTTTTAAATACTATTATACTGAATTAAATAAAATAAATATTATAAATTTTATACATTACATATTAACCTATTATAGCTATACTCTGATTTGATATATTAAATTAAATATTGTATTATTCAAGCTATTAATAAGGTATTATATTAAATATATTATTCGTATATTATATCAATTATTTTATAATATAGCATATTATTATAATATAGTATATTATATTAATAAATAACGTTAAACATAGTTATAGTTAATTAGTAAGTATAACATATTATATTTCACTATAAAGTAAAATAAATGTATTATATTATAATAACATACCAAATAATATACTAAACCAACTGGATAAATTAATTTAGACTTAATTGATAAATAAATATTATATTTTAGGAGAATTTTTTAAAAAGACCAATTTTGCTAAATAATTAACAAAATGGTCGATTTTGCTAATTATTTAGCAAAATCGACCTCTTTTTGGCCAACGGGCCAAAAAGAGGTCGATTTTAAAAAACGCTCAGCTCAGAACATACAGGACTACTAGTCCCGTATGTTTTAGATGAACTAATCACCAATTAGTTCACCCAGAAAACATACGGAAATAGTAGTCCCGTATGTTTTGAGCACCCAAACTTTGTGCCCAGCAAACCCACAGGACTACTAGTCTCGTGGGTTTGTTGGGCAGAGGCAAATAAGTCTCTGCTTAATGCACGGGACTACACGTCATCATTAGTCTCTCCAATTGCACACTGCATACTATCAAGATGTTCCTCCTCTTTTAACTACTTCATTATCATCATCGGCATCTACGTCCTCATCCTCTTTTATTATAGAACCACCCGGTAAATTAACTGAAACATGACCCGGCGCGTTGTGGAACATGTCACTTGACATTGCACCCGAGTTATTTTTTAAGTGCAAGACACTTTGAGATAACAAGATTTGATTTTCAAGCATGCGGGAGAACTCTCCGTGAGCATATGAAATTTCGGCAACCTTAGACATTAGAATATTTTCAATGAACTCGATTGAGATTTGTTTTTCCACAAGTCCGATTATGTCATTCAATTCTTCATCATTGGTGATCTCTACAACAATTGTTCTATTTTTATTTATCAGACAATTATAAAAGACCTTAATGACATTTTCGGCATGATTAATTCCAATAACTTTGTATACTTGCTCCATCATTCTATCGAAATTATAATTTCTACATAACAGAAACATTTTTCTAGAGCCCTCATCATATATAGGCATATTATTCATTCCAACACTCAGTTTTTCATTGAATAAGCAAATAATCGGTATTCCATTCGTCATAACTGAAAAATTAAAATTCATCATATACAAATTAGATTTTTTTTTCATATTGATAATCATAATTAAAATATTTCCATATTGATAATCATAATTAAAATATTGAGAAATTTATGAAAAAATTAAAAATTTATACCTTGATGAACTTTCGGATCTCGTCAGCGTCGAAGAGAATCGACGGCGTCGGCGTCAGAGAGAATCGACGGCGTCAGATTTGAGGGAGGTAGAGGTGAGTTGGGTTTGGGGGAGAGATAGATCGGGTTTGGGAGAGATGGAGGGGTCGGGAGAGATGGAGATCGGGTTTGGAAGGGAGATGAGTTTGGGAGAGGTTGAGTTCAGGTTTGGGAGAGAGTGAGATAGGGAGAGAGAGATCAAGAGAGAGAGAGATCGGGGGAGAGAGTGAGTGAGTGAGAGAGAATAGTTGTGCCCTAATTTGGGACACAACTTGGCTCTTATATAGCCCGACAATTCTACGGCACTACTAGTCCCGTAGATTTATCAGGCACTTATTTGTTGTGCCCAGTAAACCCACGAGACTAGTAGTCTCGTAGGTTTGTTGGGCAGAACAAATGAGCGCACAAAACATACGGGACTACTAGTCCTGTATATTTTTCTGGGTGAACTAATCGGTGATTAGTTCACCTAAAACATACGAGACTAGTAGTCTCGTATGTTCTGAGCTGGACGTTTTTTAAAATCAACATCTTTTTGGTTTGTTGCCCAAAAAAATGTCGATTTTGCTAAATAATTAGCAAAATGATCGATTTTATGATCTTTTTTAAAAATTTTCCCTATATTTTAATAAGGTGCAACATCATCAATTATCACACATGATTATCAAATCAAATCTTCAAATTATCCTAATATCCCAACGTATCTCATTTTACCGCATACAAAATATCTCAAAGGGATAAAATTGTTCCATTGGAATAATTATCCTACTTGACTCAAACTTGTCCCAACCAATTACCCCCCAAGTACTCTTAAGATATGAGCTTAGCTCGTCATTACTATGGCAAGGGCAACTTACACTCGTCCTCACCATATCGATTTTTAAAGCTAATGACAGAGTTATGTACTAAATAAATTATGTTCCACTAGAGACACGATAAATACTCAGGAGAAGTCAAAGCCAGTGAGTGAATAAGAAAAGGCCAACATTCCGTGATACTAATCCTGAGTATCTTGTTGGATGCAGAAGGGACACAAAATCTTATGTTAAGTCAAATACACTATAATTGATATCATTGACTTTAGTTCAACACTAATATATCATGCAATATCATTACATCACCTACCAACGATAGCAAATCCTATTATCTCCACATGGGGCTAGAAACGAATTGAATCGAATACTGAGGTGTTCATAATCACATTCGTTTAAACGATTCGAATCCGAATATAATTCTCTGAATTTCATTGCAGTCAAAATCAAATACAATTTTTTTCTCAAATACTCACAAATATTTATCGAATATTATGGTATGTGTATTTGACTAATAATTCATACTTTATGAATATTAAAGTACTTATGTGAGAAAGAAGATACTTTATTTGGTTAACGAAATTAGGTTTAAAAACTAATATAGAGCTCTTTTAGTTTATCAAATTTAGTATAGAACCTAAATCACAAAATATGAATGGGTAAAAAACAAAACATCATCTGTAACAGTACAATTTATAAGAGATAAAATTTTAAATGAACATTTGATAATCAAATGAGTAAATGTACATCTGGTCAAACTCTATTCGTTTATGAACCAAATACTAAAAACTATTTGTTTACTATTAAATGAACAGAATAAATAGACAAATAATAAATGAACTACTTGTTAGTATTTGGTTCATTTTCACCCCTATATCCACCTTACGTGATACGGGTATGTGTGTAGGTGCAGCTACTGATACGAGAACCGGACACGACAAGTTTATAAAAGGCAGGACTCACCGACTCAGAAACATGGCTATATATACACATTGAAATTAATAATTTTCAGGAATTGGTTTTGTTTTTTCATTCACATGTTATAAAAACTAAAATTTCTATAACATTAAAGGCAGGACTCGCCGACTCAGGAACATGGTTATATATACACATTGAAATTAATAATTTTCAGAAATTGGTTTTGTTTTTTTCATTCACATGTTATAAAAACTAAAATTTCTATAACATTTATGCTTCATTTATTAAGGAGATTATAAATTGAAAAATCATTTTTTTAAAGAAGATACCTAACGACGGGGAAGGATGAATATAGTGCCTTTTTGTTGTTGTTGTGGTTGGGGGGGTTTTTTGGGGGGGGGGGAGGGGGGGGGGTTGGTTGGGGGGTTTTTTTGGGGGGTGGGGAGGGTGGGGGATTTCACCCCTAAAAATCTGATAATTATATTTAAACTATTGTAAAACTACAATCTACCGCCTCTTAATTGAAATAATTCACACCCTAAAAACTCAAACAATCAGATAAAATATGATGCAATGAAGTAGATAAGGTGTACTGAGTGTGTTCCCGTCATGTACTATAGTTTTATAATTATCTTTTATTTTTAGGAACATGGATACTTATCGTCTCCCCCACCCCCGCCAAAAAAAAAGATAATATTTATGGATCCACCGCTGCCTAATGACACTTTAAAATCATACTTTTGAATTGCGTATGGGCAGAAATAAGCCCAATCCTGTTTAGCGAGTGGCAAGAAGTGGAAGTTAAGTGAAAGATATACTCTTCCAAGAAATGTAAGATGAGTGTTTTAAACTAATACATGTATTATATAACTGAGTACATATCTGAATAAATGTATGCATAATCAAAGAGTGTCCAAGGGGTGTCGGAGTTTGACACATGTTGGACACAGATACGGGAGCCCAGAGGAGGTGTCGGGGTAACTTAGATCTACACTAATATTTTATTTCAATATAAGCACTGCACTGAGCCAAAGAGAAATAACAAGAAGTCCAAAAAATATATGTACACCACACCACTCTAAATTTTTTGGAGGCCAGAACAGAGGGTAAGCTGAATTATTGTAGTTTTGTTTTTAATTCTAAAATGTGAAAGAGTCAAGATAGGCAAGTGCCAAACACATCCTCCATTCTACAGGTTTCATGAAAAATTCAGTCACCGAGAAACTCTTGTCCTTTAGTCTAAATTTATAGATCTTTGAAGGCACAATCATAATCTCATGATCTCCTAGCTTGAAGGTCTTGCAGACTGTACCTAGCCAAAGTCTCTCCTAACAATCAAACATCATCATAACCTTAACCCATATCGTTGAAGTCTGATGTAGATTAGATGAGAGGAGAAGAATAAATAAAGATTTTATTTTTCAGGTTTTAAAGGCAAAAAACATCCTTCTGCAATTCCATATTAGACAAGTCAGATAAATGTAGAATTAAGAAAAGTGTAGCAATGATAGCATAATCTAAATCTGAAGTACAGCGATATTGTAGAGGATCGGCTAAGACAGTAAGAAGATATTCATAAATGATTCATAAGGTTATTTCCTAACCTGCAAGAGCTGCCTCCGGATAAATCCCCAGTTTGATTTATGTCTAGTGGACTGTGGATGAGATGACCCAATTGAAGACAGAAGCTGAACTCCAAATAAACAAATAAATAATCATCCATAGCGGAAAGCACATGCTATCTAATGGTCAGTCATAAGCATACCTCGGCTACAACTTGTCGGGCCTCACTCGCAATTCCTACCCACGACCATATTGCTTCCAAAATTTGGCCATGATTGAGACGGATATCAATTGAATCTAGATGAGAAAACCGGTTTGTGATGTCCATTACTACCTGATTTTCCCCATATGGATTCAGTATCATCTGGAAAGATATCTAAAATATACAAAGGCTACATCCATTCTCTTATGACAAAGTACATGGAAGGAATTACCACAGCTTCTAGACACAATCATTAAATAAGTGCACATGTGATCATGATTCCTGAGTCAAATTGTGTTTAGTTGGATATGAGTAACAAGTAAGAGTGTCTAGCTATTTCTTTAGAGATGCTAGAAGTTCAATATTGTTACATAAATTGCAGCAGGAAACTCTAAATTTATGAGTATAAACCAAATTGGTAAGCAAACTTCCAGGGAAACATTTACCTGCATTCCAAAAACTCAAAACTAAACATAACACTAAATGAAACATCGCCGTGAGGAAACAGATCTTTAATTTCTTAATTTATAAGTACAGCATCGAATTAGTAAGAGCATCAAAGAGTATCTTGTACATTCAAAAACAATAGACCCTCCAAGAATATCGAGGCTGGTTTACTGCATTTATCTGATGGCTCCAAAAGAAAATTTTAACATCAATTCCAACACTCGAATAACTCACGAACATAAACTATCAATAGTAAAGACAATGCAACACTGAAAAGAACCCTCATGTACATAAATTATCAGCAAGAAAAATTCAGGAAATCAAAACAGCCATGATTAATTATTTATATATATTTGGGTGGGTTGGGAGGTGTCCGCAGCCTACATTTTATATTATAACGCATGTTGATCATAAGAGAATATAATATAACTGGTTTTGCGGCTAAAGCAGAGCATCAATGAAGGATACATCATACAATCCTGAAGAAGACTCGCACCTGCAACTGGACTCCAATGTGCATAATACCAAATGAGCAGGGATTAAACTACTGGGTGTGTCTGATCCTCTCCAACTAGTTTAAAATACATCACACACACAGGGAGGGAGGAGGGAGGGAGGGGATGGAAGGGAGGAGGGAGAATCTTGGAAACTTAGAACTAAACAAGTAGCATAAAAGGGGGAAAAACCTTAATAGCCTCTGCCTCAGTTAATGCTGTGGCACCTCCAATAATATCAAAATCTCCCTGAGACACAATATCCACAGTTAGCACTGAAGGAAAAAAAACAGAAGGAACAATGTCCAGACAGTGCAAAATGACATAATTAGCATGCAAGTCAATAATGAAATAACCTGAAGGAAACGGTTAGGAGTGGAGTGGCCAACAGCTCTCCTGTATACCCAAGATATTTCATAACGTTTGAAAGACGATTTCTGCAGTTAGTGGAAAATTAATAAAAAAGATTGGAAAAATATTTAATAAAACAATAGAAAGTAAATTGAGCATATGAGACAGCTGTGTAGTCCACCTAAGAAACTGAAGTTCGGCAAAAAGTAGGTATTTTTACCAGAATAATTGTAACGTCCACTATCAATAGGTGAAGACAGCTAGCTAAGTGGGAAAATGAGCAGATGAGAACAACAGAGCAGCCTTGCAGGTTGTGGAAAAAGGGAGGGAGGTAGATTTGACCGTAGCAAACATAACAAGACATTGTGATGTAGGACCATTTGAAGTTCAAATAAAGATTTGGTTGAAGAGTCTGGATTCAATGGAAAACTCGTTAGGATAGATGAAGTTGTTAAAAAGTTTTAGATTTAGCTTTCAAACAGATTTAACTTCATCTTTTAGAGTATTTGATTTAATCTAGTTTGAAATTTAGATTGTGTGGGAACAAGATTTGTTTTGAATTTCAATAGTTTAGTAAAGATAAGATTTATAACTTTATATATACGGGCTTATGATTTTCATTGTAATTAGACAGTTTAGCACGTCATTTGCGAGTATAGTGCGCGTGTGATGTGTCATAGTGTGAAACCAAACCGGTTAGGTGTTGTATGTGAATCCGGCCTAGAGACAAATTATCTGTATTTTTTATTTTATTAAATTAGAATCTCCTCCCTCATGGAGATCCTAGCTTTTCATCCAATAAAAAAAACAATATCAGAAATCCCCAAACCTTCTCCAAACAACCAGCAAATGCATCTTGTTCAAGGAAAAGAATCAAGCAGACCCCGTTGCCCAACAACAGCCATCGCCATCATAATTTATCTCCAAGTGCTTGATGACATCAGCAAAGCTTCATTGCTGACATCAGCAAAGTCCTTGCCCTTGGTTTTTTTCCTTTCCAACCTCAACAGAAAGTTAAAACACCAAATTTCAAGCAGCGGTTTCATTGCTTCCCTAACCTTGTTCAACTCTGACTCTCCAGTGATCCCTCAAGAGTTTAATTTAAGATTCAGAAACAATCAGATTCGATCCAATCATGGTTTTAAATATCGGCCGATAATCCGGTATTATCGCCGAGTTATCAGATTTGAGGGCTTTCCGCGAGGATAAGTAGGATTTTTAATCGGTTATCGTTTTTATGGGTTTATCGGCGAGTTATCGGCGATAAATGCATTTATCGGCCGATAAGGGAGGCAGGAAATATCGGTTTTATTGGCGTGAGTTTTGAGTTGAATTGTTGGGTAATGGGCTGTTACTTAGTGAGTTCTTAAACCCGACCCCACCCACTTTTGACAATAAAATGAAGTTTCTAACTTCAAGTTCAGTCCTAATCCTTCGTGAATCTCTCTCCCTCTCTGTGCGGCCGTTCTCTGAGCCTCCGAGCCTCTTCGAACTCCATCGAGCTCAAGATATATGTTCCCCTCTAACTCCGTTGACCTCGTCGCTCGCCTCCCCGACCTCAAAGCTCACATCCGCCGACGTCGCTCGCCTCCCCGACCTCAAAGCTCACCTCTATTGACGTTTATATTTCATTAAGCATGGTTAGATTACATTTTTTGGTTATTATCTTATATATATACACACCATCCAGTATATCACTCTGATAAATACTACTTATCCCAGATATATCCTCGATTTTCGCTATCCGATAAGGATTTTGATCGTCTGATAAATCCCTAATAACCGATATTTAAAACCTTGGATCCAATCAGACTTAAACCAGAATCCATCATTTCTGTTCCACATCACAATGTACACTCAAAAATTATTTCCATTTTTTTCCGTGCTTGCACTGTTTTTATTAACTAGGTCATTTAATTTAGTGAGCTGAACCCTTTTTAAGGTAGGGTTAATTAATAGCTGCTTTGCTTACCGAGGACCAATATTGATATGATGGTAGTGAAACCAAGAGTAAAATTTGGTTACTACCGTGGAATGAAATCAGTAAGCAATAACTAAGTTCAGTCATACAATTCCAAGAGGCAGGTCAAGTTTTTATCATGTAATAGTCTACATAAAAGCTGAAGATTGATGAAATATCAGAGTGAAACAGATTTTAAATGATTTTGATTTTGAGGCTGCAGCCTAGTATATCTCAGTTCCCTCTCTTCTCATTCTTCTGCCTTTTCCTTTGCAGATGAGTAAAAAAGCAAAATAAGTTCAAAATTCTTCAAATATGCACAAACATAATGATCAAATGCCAGTCCACTAACTAGTAATCCTAAGTTGCATAAGCTTCGTATCTATAAACCCATTTGGGCATCCAATCTTTTTTCCCATTAACCACATCTCTACCAAACGAGTCTCTTCACCAGAAAAAAAAACTCGCACAGCACGCCTTTTCTTACGTTATGCCTTCGATTAATTGATGAAGAAATTGACAATAATATGAAATTTCTTGTAAATTTCAATGCTTCTAAAATAAAGCACAACATATTGTCAACATAAAGCAGTCCATATCATTTGCACAGAGGAGAAGGTTGCTATAGAAACAATTCAAAAAGGTCTGAAGTCTGTCAAAGAAAATGAAATCATTGTAGCAGTTGATGACAGAGATCTTGCAACAAATACCTGATTTCTAGCAACCCAATTAACAAAAGGTGATCTTAGCTCGCGACAAAGCTCTAGCATATCCCCTCCAGAAGTCAAAACCTTTACAGACCTCCTTCTTGAAGGAAGTTAAAAAGTCAGCAGCCGTGGCATGTAAATTTTAACAAATGATAATGCCATTATTCTAAGAGGGAAGATAAGGCTAACCTGTCAATGGGACGATAGCCATCCAACACGCGCATTGGCGATATCTCCAACCGCTTTGCCCCATGCTGTCTAAATACTGCCTTGACAACCTCAATTGCATTGTCTCGAAGTTCAGTATCTAGTTCTGAATATTGTATAAAGGAAGACTCATTTGCAGTCATCATTGTACTGCCATCTTGTTCATGATGATCTTTTGCAATTAGTCTATTCATATCAAATATTGTAGAAACAACCCGGTCATACACATATGTGTCATCTGGAGACTGAATAGTTCGCAAGATATCTGCACAGCAACATTTATGAAGTAAATGGTTGTTTCCTCCATAGAACACTCCAATGACTCAATGTATGCAAATAACATAGAGTATATACGCCAGAAAGTAAACAGTACCACGGATGATATTACTTATTATAACTAAGAAAAGGATAAGAAAAATTATAACGCGCGAATAATATCTTGATTTTTGTTTGCATTTGTATTATTTTCCAACTTCCATAACAAAAAAATATGACTTTTGAGTAACAAGTGATTTATATAAATTAAAAAAAAAATTTCCAAGTTCCTTTTCGATTTACCAGCTCTGCACCTATCAATCTCTCTCTATCCAACTTTCTTAACTAAAGGGTTTATTGAAAAATACGAAGTTACAGAAGCAAGGAATCCAAGCTCAAATGATGAAGGGAAAGAAGCTGCTAGAAATTGTTACACACAAGCTTGAGACAAAGCTTATTAAAAGCAAACATCAGTTTAAATGAGAAAATGTGTGACTAGGTAGCATGGAGACGGGTGCAGACATGTACCTGAACACAGTTACGGACATGGGACATGGGACATGGCAAATTTGTAAAATGTAGGACACGGGACACAATGATATTATATATATATAATTGAATTCAAGTATATAACATTTGCATGTTTCTTTCTATTATATATAACAATTAAGAATGAAGTTAAATCAAACTAAGAATAAGGTTTAACAACAAAAGTTTAGTTTTGATCACATGTGATAACATGATGGGTATTTTTCAAATATTTAAGTAATGGGTTTCAGTTTTCGGATTCAAAAACCGATTGGTTTTGAACCTAATATTACCAAAGAAACTAATTTAGGGTATAAGTAATAGGAAAATCGGATTTTACTTTGAACCACGCGTATGCACAGTGTGTCCGCAGAGAATTCGTGTCCAACACGTGCGAATCTGTGTCCAACACGTGTCGGACACAGACACGGCATCCAAAAAGCTGTGTCTGAGTAACCTAGATGTGCAACATAAAGAAAAGATACACTCTGATTGGAACCTAGACAGAGCACTAGTCTTCTAGAAAAGGTCTATGCACCTGCTGGACATAAAATTAGGCAAATGCTGGTTCATATGCTGTCAAAGATGGCAGCTGTAGAAACTATGTCGGACTTCCATCCTAATAGGACTAGAGAATTGGTCTAGCCGAAGATATAAGAAGAGGTCGCTTTTCATGTTTCAGAGGATCACTAGGGAGCTATAGGCCTCAAGAAAAGATTTGGTTTTAGGAGCTACCAGATTTAAGAAAGAATTTAGTTCTAATTCATTTAAAATCAATCCCCCACTCTTATATTAAGGTTAGCAAAAACGGACATAACCTTCAACACGAGAACTTACCATTGAGCCACTCATCTTCCATTCTAGGAGGCAAATCAAACTGCAGAAGCTCAGTAGCAGAGGGACGATCTGATGGGCTCGGGGACATTAAACGCTTAAGAATTGCCGACTGCTTTGGAAATTTTGAAACCCAGGATGAAGGAAGTGCACCCTTCTGTTTAAGATCAGAAAGAATGATATGTCTTTCCATTGCTGTTGCAAAAGGGTGCCACAGCTCAAAGAATACAACTCCTAGGCTGTACATGTCAACCTGTAAATTTAAAAACAGCAAGTTCCATAACACAATCAGACTCAATCAAGAGTAGACAACGAGAGAAAATCTCATTAAGAACATTATGAGTGCCATCCAGCTAAACTTATAAGTTCTGGCTCATGAAAAAATCAACTTGATGCTCATTTCACTTGGCAATATAAATGTATGGGGCTATGGGCTAAAAAGAAAAGATTAAAATCAAAGGCACTTGTGAACTGAATGCGAAAAAGAATTAAAAGGTACAAAACCTAACCTTCTCATTTATCTGTGGCCACTTCTGCTCAATTTCAGGTGCTGTATAAAAAAAGGTACCCACTTGACCAGTTCCGTCTGTTGAAACTTCAGTGGCTTCAGTTGGGAAATACTGATCAGGATCCAATTGCTCTAGCTTTAGGAACTTGGCTGAAAGTCATGCCACAAATTTACTATTGATTTTTTTCAAATACACAAAAGCTTGATACGAATAGCTCTTGTGATAAATTAATCTTTATCTTTAAATATAAACTGAGAATGAGAGAACAACTCTAGATATAACATATTGCTCCCCGGTAAGGAAAATGAAAGTTCTTAATTAGATATGACTCCTAACATGAATATAATATCAGATGATAAATATGTCATTGGAAACCAGTTCTAATCTGTTACCAGTGCAAAACTATATATTATCAAAGGAAAAAATTTCATTGAGCTTCCTACATACGGCATCATTTTCTTTAGAATTTCTCACAAAAAATGCATTAAGCAACGGAGAATAACTTGGAAATGAGAATTTCCCTATAAAAAAAACAGCAAAATTTATCACCAGCTGTTGATATGGCACCAAAGCCACTGTCAGGATCTACATTCCCAGCCTAGAGAGGAAAGACAAGCATGCAATTGGCAAGCTAATAAGGCTTAATTATTGGAACTTTTTTACTTTCTTACTAGTACATTGGATTTTATAGTTATTGGTTACAATCATGCTCGTCACGTCCCAACCAAAGATATACAAGCAGGACTCTTAATGCAAACATATAAAAATTATAATAAAATTCAATTTCAATGATCAAGCAATTACCTACATAAAGAAAAGGAAACAAGTAGAAAGAAAACTACTAAGCACTTTGTTTGTGTCTTGATTAATACACCTGTACGCATACAGATAAGTTGCATGGAAAATAGAACCATAACTACTTAAGTGCTCACACACACAACAACAACAGCAACAAAAAGCAAATAAATAAAATTAAAAATCAAACCAGGACATAAGGTGGGTGTAACTACTTCTAAGACATGGTGCAGAGGCGGGGTGGTGGGGGTGGGACAATTAACAGAATTTATGTTTCCTTAGAATGTCCTATTTATAAGACCTGCACAAAAAGCGAGATGATATTTAACAACATGAACCCCAATTTAAAATGCTCAGACTTAATATACTTTGACCCTAAAACACAATAACATGTAAAGGAGTTTTCTCATTTGAAGACAGCATTTATATAAGCTTAGGTTGTTGCATATCCCAGCTTTGAAGAGATTAAGCACTCGCTTGCTAGTAGTAGTTAAATCAAGCATAAACCACCGTATGGAACTTACCAAGGCCAAAATCCCCAATCTTAATTTCATTACGAGCATCAAAAAATATATTACTAGGAGTCAAATCCCGATGTATGATTCCATGACCATGTATATGTGCTAGGCCTTCTACAATTTGCCGAAACAAAAGCCAAGTGTATGTTTGGTCCTTGTCGAAAGATGCATTGAATGATTCAAAATCGTGGCGTAAAGTTCTGCAAAACACCCAAAAATAGAGTGGAATAGCAAGAAAAATTAAATTAATTATTTGAAATAGTTGCGGATAAAATATGTAACAAACAAGTCAATCAAATATTATATTCGTAAAGATGATGTAAAATCCAATAGAACACTTTAACGTCCACTATGATATGAAAGGCCTAGATTCCGAAACAAACTTAGAGATTCAACAATAAAACTTTTTCGACATCGATTATGATATGGAAGTCCAAATTTTGGCACAAATTTGAATCCAATCACCTGTCAGTAGAGCATCAACACAGGGAGCAGCCAATACATAATCTAGCAGCATAGCCCTATAATCTTACGCATGTTAAGTCTACAACAGAGCTCCCTTAACCTCTACTCCATGTTTCCTGCATGCACTTTGCTGCAATCAAATCCTGCTGCTATCTTAAAATCCCATGAAATCACAGTTGAAGTTGAAGTGGACATGTAACAGTCAATGTGGCCCTATCCTGGACCAGGTCTCACCAACCTCAGCCTGCTAGCAGTAAGCTATGAACCCTTTATGTACTTGGGCTGTCAATCCCGAGGGAAATACAGTCCAGGCTCAGACTAAGTAATTGGACCTGATGGGCATAGCTATTTATCCTGTATGTGTAGATAATGCAAGTTTAAGGCTGGCCCCTGGCTACAGTTCTTGTAAATTGTACTATAAAGTTAACTGAAAATACAATAGTGCTCTCACACGTGTTGAGGTGAATGTTATGTTCTAGCTTTTAAAACATGCAGCCAGCAGGATTTAAACTAGTGACCTTCCGAGAAAGCCAAAAGATTATGTTACCACTACACTACTCTATTTTGGTGTTAAAATGAAAAGGTATGCAAATATAAATAATTAATAATAGATTCAAGTTTTGACCAGCAAATGTTTCCTTGTAGACTAAGGTTAAAGCCCAGCCCAAACTCTTCTGTCCGTTAGGTTAAAAAGAAATTCATATGCCCAGGCCTACATGGATATAAATCCCGCATATTGGCCCCTCCTAAATGGTTACAGTTACCTCAAGGAGGATTGTAAAATGGAGGTTGAGACAAAGTGAAAGACCAACATAAACAACTCTATGAAGAATACAGATACCAAAGTGACCATGTGAATACACATGGGCATAAATACATAGGCTGTGTTTGGCAACCACTCCAGGATCAGGATTGATGTTGGCCCCAAATTGGGGAAAAACTTTGTTTGGGAAAAAGGTGGCTGTTAAACCAGATCATTGTCGGGCCACCTCTCCCTTAGTCTAAACCTAGTGTGGTTCAGGATAAAATGGGGCCAGGATTGAGCCTGGCCAGTTCTGTAAGGCTTGCGAAAAACAGCCATATTGTCTCCCATTTCAATAGATGGGCAACAGAGTCGAAAACATTTGAGAATGGAAGTTCTCAGAGGAGCAGAGGGCCAAAAGCAGGCTTCAAAGAGTTGTTTGAAGTATGGACAAGTTCTCCTCTGACAATGCACACATATTACATGTTCAAAAAATGTAGGAAAACATTACATGATCAAGTGGCTGTTATCTTAATTGATTCATCTGTTATGTATTCATGATACTCGTACAAATAAGCATATAGCATATAACTAGGCAACCCACAATTTACTAAATTCATTTCCAACTTTTCCACCTTCAAATCCCTAGATAGATCTGAAACCCTGATAATGCAAAAAAACATCATCTTTGTAGACATAGATCACACGAGGAAGGAAAAGTCGACTGGCAAACATCATATAAAATGTTGAAGAATGCAAACACATACACATTATCTCGAATTTCAACATGGTAGAAAATAACCTTGTCAAAGTAACAAATTACATAACATGCCCTACAGATGATGCTTGGAACATGGCAGAGTCCACATAGGTTGCGATATATGAAGACACTAGATCATAAAGGTAGATGATAATTTTCAGATTCCTTAAATAAGCATGTGATGAAAAATAAATAAACTAACACATCTTCTATAATAAAGCATTAGCACATGCATTCAAGTAGGCACATTATTTCCATTGCTTCCCAGCTATGTTGCATGGAAATGGGTGTAGGTGGCAGAGGCAAGCTTTTAAATGTCAGATGTCAGGTTCATGTAAGACGGCTAAAATTCATGTCAGATAGCAAAAATCGATGATATATCGGGGGACATGTATTAAATGTCGAATTGTCATATCAGATGGATATCTACTCAATTTTGGTCACCAAGATGGAACACACTTGTCTTATTATAGCTTATCCAACTTAAGTTGAATATTCAACATTAAGACATAAGTTGTTTTCCATTTCTTAAAGGGAAGCAGTGGAATATTATGCCAAATAAAAAATACAAATTGTCAAACTAGTAACTTTCAAAGTGCCTTGCTTAAATACAAGTCCATAGCGAAGTTCGCCCAAGCCACAGCGAAGTTCACTCAAGTCTCATGCGAGCTTCACTCTGAGCCCAAGCCCAAACCAATCTGAACCAAGCCCATATGAGGCTCTAAGCAAAGTTTACCCAAGTGTACTCAAATCCATGCCGCGCAGCCACGGTTCCATCCCATACAAGAATGTGGGCTACCCACGTTCGAAGTTCGCCCATAGCCATTACTACCCTTTTTGGTGAAGTTCATTCAGCGAACTTCACCCAAGTCAGTTTCACGAGCTATTTTCAAGAAAATGTGGGTTAACCCACTAACTCCGATTTAATGGCCATTAACCCACTCTCCTAGATAAATAGAGGGAATTGCTCATTTTGAAGGGGATTAATCTTGGACAGCTTGCATTATTCTTGGCAAGGCTTTTTGTCATTTGAGAAGAGAAAGCGATTCGTGCACGAGCAATGTTGACTATTCTTATTGATCTTCATCAGTGTTTTTAAGGGCGCGCGCCTCATTGTGCCTCATGCGCCTTACGATGCGGGGCGGTGTCGAAACGCCCCACATCTGATGTAGCAGCGCCTTTTGCGCCTCGCGTACATCCTTACTTTGTGTAGGGTGCATATAGTACATATCCTCATATAGTTTTATTTGTTAACATTTCAATCTAGTCTTTATACTTGATATTCCATATCCCAAAAAGTAAAATAAATCCATTAGGCCTTTTTAATAGCCTTCAATTGAGGACAATTACTAATCATTTGCTTGGATATTAATCTTGATTTAACATTTGATTTAAAATTTTATGAATTTTGCTACTACGTTGGGTGTTAGCATTAGAAATTAAGGCATTATATTGTGATTTTGTAGTAATATATTATTTATCATGATATTTTTCATGTAAATTCTAAAAACATGTTTTTTCGCGTTTGATTACATATATTAAAAAATTATGTGTGCGGTGTGCGCCTCGCATCACTTGGGCGCGCGCATCGCGTTGCGCCTTGCGCATGTGCGCATAAAGATGCTTTGCGCCCCCCCCCCTCGCATTGCGTTTTGCGCATTGACAACACTGATCTTCATATATCATCCTCATCAGCCAGTCATCTAACTTAACCAACAATCTTTAAGAGAGAATTTATTAGAATCTCTTCAAGATAAATAGTCATCTATTTACTCAGAGATCGTCAATCAGCTAAAGACCTACCGTCCTTAAGTCAGACCATCAATGAAAAATAAGAACGATTTTCCATCGGCAGTAAATAACCCAAATCTTTATAACATTTTATTGTTTCTTATTTCATGAAATTGTAACTCTTATTTGTAAGATTATCAATTTTAAGAACGGAAACAATTCCCATGGTGACACTCATAATCTTATCGAATGACATTGTCAGAATTCACACTTTGCTCTCATACCAACATTCTTTGCTTGCTATTTATTTGGTCTACATGGGCCTGAAAATAAGTTAACTTTCTGTGTGCTACTAGCATCGAGTTTTGATTTTATAATTTGATCGACCTAATTCTAACTGCGTCGATGTTTCTAGTACAGCAGGGAATTGCAATTATTGCATGTATTGTATCAGGTCCTTAATCCTTATTAGGTATTCCTGTTCGGGAAGAAGCATTGCCAAACCAAGACTAAAGAAGGTTTCTAGATTCAAACCAAGACTAAAGAAGTTTCTAGGTTCATTGAACTATGAATGCTATTATGTCTACATCGTTAGATCTGATTATGGATTTTGGTTACCATTATCAGTCTAATGTTGAACAAAGCATCAATACTAACCAAACCGGATACCTCAAGTGTTCTTGTTTTTCTCCATTACTGCTCAACTAACCTAACAATTGCTTTGCCCAACTAGTTACATAACTGATTGATTACAAATTGTATTCGAACCTGAGGTGGAGAATGTGCACAGACAAAATGACGCGAAAGCATAAGTAGAAACAATATAAACTCACAAATCCAAGTACACATAACATAAATAATTAAAAGGGTAGAACATAGGTCATAATAATTATTCAATCATCATCCATGTGTTTCCCCGCATTCAGAATGGGGCTACCTTAGGAACCCGCCTCAAAAGTGCCATGCCTTTGCTTGTTTCAATTGTATTTTGAGTTCACCAAGCCTGATACTATCAGATTACGTGTGTGAGCGCATGTTTGCACATGCTCGTGTGTGCATGCGTGTGTCATATAGTTGAAGAAACCTAGTCTAATTGTGATAATAAGCTCATGTCTCATGTATCATCTTCTAATAAGTCCTTTAATCCTTTGGTGTAGGGACAAAGGAAAAAGGTCAAAGTACTTCTTGAAGTGAGATCCCCCAAGGAGGGCCCTCCATAAATTTTATTGGCCGTCTAAAAATGTGCTAACCACAAATATTTGAAATCCTGGTATAGGTCCATTTTGGTAGTTTTTGGTTGGAAATAACAGTGCGACAATATAGTTAATTTAATCACAAGATTAATATCAACTGATTCCATTTTTCATTCGCAAACAGCACTGTCAAACCAAGTCTTGGTATCTCAAGCCTAAAACCCTGTTATGTACTCTGTACTATCAAATATTGGTCTGCATTGGTCATTATCAACCAATGTCGTTATTTGTGGCTTTAATTGGATTGGA